AATAAATAATGTTACCGCTTATAACGAACCGTAATGGACCATGAACGATGGTTCGCTTTAACGATGCATCGCGATGTTTGTTATTTGCGAAAAAATTAATTTTTATATTCTTGTTAATTAGGTCATAACTAAAATTTTAAGAGCAAAATAAAAAAAATTTGACGGTTAGTTTTGTTTTAATTGGATGTTTATTAAAAATATGTATGCATACTTTCAATTCTCCAATTAAAGCTTGCGATTTTATTGAAATATTATCATAACTTTTTAAATCAGATTAAAGATTAGTTAATTTCCTAAAAAAAGGTCTATACATTTTTTATATCTTTTACTGTTTTGTTGTAATACACGTTTAAAGTTTTAATTTAAGGTTAAATGTATAGTATACATTTATTAAACAATAATTCTAAGGGTGCCACATTTTATTTAGAGCCGATTTATTCATTTTTGATTTATTTGACGAATAATTTCTTTGGATACTAGATATTGCCAAGACATGAAAGTTATCGGCCCGATAAACTTTACTAAAGATGAATAAACCGGTACTTAGTTAAATTTCATGAATTTCTTCGTAACTTTTACTACAATTTTTCATTTTTGTTTATAAAAAACACTTTAAAAAACTAAACAAAAATTATAGAATTCGTATACCGAAAATGACAATTCAAACGTCAAATAAATTTTTAATAGATCTAAGTTTCATGGCAACCTTTAAGGATATATTAATTAAGGGAACATAAATGTATACGTCAAAGGTTAGATTAAAAGTTTGAACGTTTATTGCAACAAAACAGTAAAATATATAAAAAAAAATTGTAAAAACCTTTTTTTTAGTTATGCAAATATTAAATATTTAAATTAAATCGCTAGTTTTAATTGGATAATTATCCAATTATAATTGAAAGAGTGCATAATATTTTTAATAAACAGCCAATTAAAACAATTCAAACCGTCAAATTTTTTTTATTTTGCTCTTAAAATTTTAGTTATGACCTAATTAACAAAAAATATAAAAAAAAATTAGGTTTCACAGAAAGTCCAAAAATCACCTCTCAGAACAGCACCGTGCTTTGGTTTGTAGATAGGTACTATTCGAATTGGTTTGTAGATAGGTACTATTCGAATTGGTTTGATTTAACCGAAAGTTCGCTATATAGCATATGATAGGTCCTATACATATATGTACATTAGGGTGGCCCAAAAAAAAAGAATATTTTTTTCTCTCGTCTCCTGTAAATATTTGTTAGTTTATCTTGCTGTAAGAGCCCTGTCAAAATATCAGCTCAATTCAAAAATTTTTAGGGGTCGCTCAAGATTTTTAAAAAATTTCAAAATCGTCAAAAATTGAATTTTTGTTTTATTTTTTTGGTTTGGTTGAAAATAATAAAAATTCTGTAAATTTCAAATCAATATTTTGATTTCCAAAGGTCGCTAAAAGTTCGTTGATATTTATATTCAGAGGTCGCTCGAAAACATTCAAAATACTCTTGGGCGACCTTTAGAAATCAAAATATCGATTTGAAATTTTCAGAATCATTATTATTTTCAAATTAAAAAATAATATCGGAACGAGAAAAAAAATTAAAAAAAAAAAAAAACAATTTTTGACGATTTTGGAAATTTTTAAAAATCTTAAGCGACCCCTAAAAATTTTTTAATGGAGCTGATCTTTTGACAGGGCTCTTAAAACGTGACAAACCAACATATTTTCGCAAGAGACGAGAAAAAAAATATTTTTTTTTGGGCCACCTTAATGTACATATTATATTAAAAATATTATATTAATTAATTTCACTATAAATGTAACTTAAAGAGTTTTAAATTTATTATATAGGTCAGTATTTGGATATCTATTTTCTAATTGGTAAATATTTTTTATGGCCATATTTTGTAAAGTCTTTAGTGGTCGTAAATTTGTTTTTGATGCGGTTGACCAGATGATATTCAGGTAGGTATTGCAAATGTGAGTGAATTAAAGAGCGGTAGATTGATCTTAAATAGGTTTTTGGTACTGTAAAACTCAACCTTATTAGTATGCCAACTCTGTGGGTAAAAGGCATAAGGGGATAAGTCAAAAAAGGCAATTTTTTGGTAGAGCCTTAAACGTGTTCGCATTAATTAAGGAAATATATTTATGGTTAGCGAGTATTCCCTTTTGCTAGCATATGACATGTGCTGGGAAAAGGGTATACCCGCTAACCATAAATGTATTTCCTAAATTAATGCGAACACATTTAGGGCACTGCTAAAAAATTCATTTTTTTGACTTATCCCCTTATGCCTTTTACCCACAGAACTGGCCCCGCTAGTTTTTTCCTCAGATATTCAATGAGACTATTCATAAATTAATAATCCTAAGAACTTTATGCTCTTTGTTTTAATTATTAAAAGCTATATATTCATCCTTGTAGAGGTCACCATTTGATTTCCCTATCCACATAAAGTGCGACTTATTGATGTTTAAGGTGAGTTTATTTCTCATTAGCCATTTTGTTATCAAACTGATATCGTGGGCGATAGATTGCCTTATGTCGCTGATGCAATCCGATAAATAAACGAGCGTAGTGTCATCAGCATACAGTCACTCGCCCATGCAGGCCCAGGCCCGTCAAAGAGTTTATATATATATAAGGAAGAGAGTTGGCCCTAGTATGGAGCCCTGTGGAACCCCTCTCTCTTTCACTTTCTGTATTATTAATTTTTACAAACTGTGACCTGCAGGACAAGTAGTCCCTAAGCCACCCACCACACTCGTCCACCACTCAAATTAAATCAGTTTTTCTAAAGAGCACATCATACTTAACAGTATCAAATGCCTTTCGCAAATCCAGCGAAACAATAGCGCAGTTTTTGCCTTTATCTATGTTTACTTGTATATTTGATATTATATCAAAGGCGGCTGAGCTGGTATCACTGGACTTGCGAAAACAATACTGAGATTTGGACAAAAATTTTATATCTATTAAATATTCAACCAAGCGGTCGTTGACGGCTCGTTCCAGGATCTTTGATAGTGCTGGAAGAACCGACACAGGTCGATAGTTACCAACGTCTTCCTTGTTGCCTGATTTGTATAGCGGACTAACTCTTGCGATGTTCATTTGGTCTGGAACTTTCCCTTGTAGTAGCAACTGATTGACAAGCTTACTCATTAAATGTTTGAGAGCATCGCTGGATTTTTTTATAGTTTTCACATCCACTTGGTCAGGCCCCGTAGCTTTAGAAACATCCATATTTTGAATAATTTAGCCCACGTCCAAATTTATATCCAAAGGCACATCTTGAATTTGTTTTGCTAGTTTCTCCCCTACTGTGACGAAGAATTTATTTATGTAATCAGCTATAGACTTTTCATCAGTAATAATTGGTTGGTTTTTAATGAAGATATTCCTTTTTTTTGTTGTTGTTAGTGTTTGTAATTATGGAATTTATAGTTTTCCACGTTTTTTGGCATCATGATTGATTTTGTTAAATTTACTTTCATAGTAAGTAAAGCTTTTTAGCCCTTTTTATTTCTGTTTTCACTGTTTTGCTTGCATTTGTATGCATATTTCTTAAGTAGACGGAATTTATAGTTTTCCACGTTTTTTGGCATCATGATTGATTTTGTTAAATTTACTTTCATAGTAAGTAAAGCTTTTTAGCCCTTTTTATTTCTGTTTTCACTGTTTTGCTTGCATTTGTATGCATATTTCTTAAGTAGACGTTATTCGGATTACCCTTTAGTCCTGTGTAGTGGTAATCCCTTGACTTGATAGAATTCAACACATTTACGTTAAACCATGTTTTGGATTTGGATTTTACGAAATTTACTTTTTACACTGTGTATTTTTATGGAAACATTTCAGTATTTCATTATAGTTTTCATTGACATGTGTATCACCTGAATACCCTAGACGTTATTCGGATTACCCTTTAGTCCTGTGTAGTGGTAATCCCTTGACTTGATAGAATTCAACACATTTACGTTAAACCATGTTTTGGTTTTGGATTTTACGAAATTTACTTTTTACACTGTGTATTTTTATGGAAACATTTCAGTATTTCATTATAGTTTTCATTGACATGTGTATCACCTGAATACCCTTCATTGACTTTCTGTAAGTCTTGCATTAGTGCTTTATCGTTTACCATCTTCCTGACATTAAACTGCATTTTGTCAGTGTGTATTTTTTGAGTTTGTAATTGTAGCACCTGTATCTCGTGATAACTTATGCTGTTACTGATGATAGACAGCTGTTTTACAATATTAATGTTTGTTAACAAAGTGTGATCAATTAGTGATTTTCTTTGATCCTTGTGGGAAAAGTAGAATTATAATTGTAAAATCCATTAGACTCATAGGTTTGCTTGTAGTCTAGAACTTTCCTTGTTGATCTCAATAAATCTATGTTTATATCCCCCATAACAACTACCATCTTGTTTGATAGCTGTGAGAGTTCGTCGTCTAAGAATTGTAGAGATTGATTTATGTTATGATCTGGAGGTATGTAGAGACTACCGATATATATTTTATGTTCTTGTAAACCAACCAACAAAAATGATAAGTCCACCTTATCAATTAGGTATTTGTTAAATTTTATGTGATTTTTAATAAGGATTGAGGCTCCTCCTCCACGCTTGTCCCTACTTGCAAAAACTGACTGATATCCTGGGATGTTATAAAAAGTTTGCTCTTCAAGCACACAAGTTTCAGTTAATATAACCAAGTCAATATTAGTCTCAATAAGGTGTATTATAAGTTCAATACTATCCAGCTTATTTTTCATTGAGCGAGCATTCAAGTACAAAATATTTAGAGTTGTTTCACCTCTGGTTTTGCTCCAGGTTTTACTATTATATTGGTAAATACTACTAAAGCTTTTAACATTACATTTATTATCACTTACATCATATCCTACATCACATTGTACAGATATTATGAGATATCCCAGGGTTTTTATTTATGTATTTCATTTATTACGTTTGTCCTTACTGCTTACTTCAATAGGTCTTCAATCATTTCAGTGTTCCTGATTTTTATTGGAGTGGATTCGTCTTTCCAATACTAGGCCATTTTTTATCCACACATGTTTATAGTTTTTCTTCTCTCTAAGGCTCTTGGCATTTTTTAGTAAATATCTTATGTCATGTGGCAAATCCTCATTAGGATAAATATTAGTTTTCTCTCCTTCAGTCTCATTGTCATGTGTTTCCAATTTACCATATTCCTTTTTTTTGTCGAGAACTTCATTTTTTATATCTTCAGTTTGTAGAGTAACTAGCACTGGCTTTCTAGGATTTTTACTGGGCAGCAGTTTGCAAGTGTATTGATTTTCAGATATATCCATTTTAATCTTAAGGAAAATGTCTTTAATTTGGGACCTACTTTTATTATCACTTTCATATTTTAGTCCTTGTTTTACAATGTTATATTTCATCTTATTATCTGCTTGTATTTCATTTCTCACTCCAAGTTTAATATCAGTCATTTGCTTAGAAAGATCTTTAACCTTCGTCTTAAGAGATGCATTTTCTTTTAGTAGTTTCTTGTAGTCTTGTGAAAGTGTCATTTTTCAACTGTTTCATTGTTAAAACTAAGATATTCTTCCATGTCTGAGAATTTTTTTGTTATTAAATTATATAAATCGCTTATGTTAATATCCTTTTTGGATTTTTTAAAACAAGATTGTACAAGTTTGTTGGAGTTCTTTGATTTAGTTTTTTGGCTTCCTACAAATTTGGGATCGAGTTTGGGATTGTTTGTATCATCACATTCCTCATCTAAGCTGGATGTCTCATCATCATGATCGCTTGAAATGTCCCTTACAGGGACCTTTTGAGGTAATTTGCTGCATGTTTTGCATTTCCATTTTAGCTTGTTTGCTTTCGCCTTTTCGATATTTTCTTTCGAGAGGCCTGTGCAAGTAGTACTTAAATGAAACCATAATTCACAAAAGCCGCTGCATTGGATTTTGTATCCTTTTTTCCCAATGGTTTTCTCGCAATTTGGACACTCCATGATTGCTCTTGTCGAAGTGAGGTTAAGACTCTTTGGTAGGGTTTTTCAGCATTTAATTTCAAATTCCTTTTTAATCATGTGAGATCGGGTAAGACTGACCTGCTCACTGACAAATTTGATATTATATTAAAGCTTTTTAGAATATTTTTTAGATATCTTATAAGGTGTTAATTTTAGGTTATTCTTCTTCTTCTTTTACGCCCAATGATCCCTTGGATAAAATACACACAATAACGTTACTATATAATCATTTAGGCGTTGAGTTTCTTAATATAAAGATTAATCAATCGAAATCGAGTACTAAACCAGTTTTTAGTATTTTCGTTGCCACGTAAAACACAAATAACGTGCGAGATTTAGCTATGCAATTGAACATAATTTGTCGAGTAAGACTTCTGCATTCCTCTCTTTTGTGAAAAAACTACCTATTTATTTAAAAATGATGTACAGTTCGTATGCTTTAAATGTATTGTTGACAATTCTTAAATTCACGCAATGCTTTTGGAGTCCACCAGATGGCGCGCGCTTTGAAAATGTTAAAAAGTGAAAAAAAAACAATAGTAGGATGAAACCCATTGGAAAAGGAAGAGTATATAAGAAAAATGAAAGGAAAAATAATTTACGGGCGATCTGAGGTCGGGAAGTGGACAGGGGTGAGTTTTTAAGGGTAAAAAACGGTTCGATTTTTGGCAAAACTACAAGTCCTATGGAAAAAAGTTAAATGGCACAGTTGTAGGTAATAAAAAGATCTACAACTTTTATATTTACACTTTTTTCACATAACCTCAAAACTTATGTGAAAAATTCGAATAACCAAGTTTTTGGTTGTTTATCTTTTACAAAATTTTTTTTTTTTTAAATTATCTTTTTATATTCCAAACACACTGTTATTTCTTTGATTTAAAATATTTATTTTTTCACCTTATTTTGACAAAACGCACCCTAATTTTCAATCAAAAATCATCGCGTCAAATCAATCAGCTTTTTTAAAAAATTCTGTGAGCTTTAGAGTGGTCGTTAAAAATTAAATTTTTTGCGCCCCCCTAAAATGCTTCGTTTTGATGAAAAAACACTAGAAATTTTTTTTTATTAAAAACAACACGTGCCTCAAGACGATCTAAGTTAATAATTAATAATTATTATAAGTAGGTATAATCATGTCTTTTCTAAAAATATGGAATAATTTTTTTGAGATTTAAAAATTGTTAACAATGAAAAATGTGAAATAGGTAATATAATGTTTAATAATGTGTTAATTAATGATGATAAGTGCAAAGCGAACATTTTTAATAACTTTTATAGTACGGTAGTGTCGAATTTAAACGAAATTGCAAGGCCCCCCGCTCAGCACCATGAAGAAAAAATCTTGCTTCAGAAATTAGAACTCATTGGAATAGAGGGAAGCAGTCTTAATTAGTTTGAGGATTATTTGTCCAATAGAAGGCAACATGTACAAGTATATCTGGAGAAAAGCTCAAACTTAGAAATCAAAAGTGGAGTGCCTCAAGGCTCAATCCTTGGGCCAACATTATTCCTTATTTACATCAATTCAATAACCAACTTACCACTAAAAGGGAATCTAAAACTATATGCAGAAGATGCAACTCTTGCATACTATGCTAACTCCAAAGACCAGTTAAGACAGTATATATCCTCTGATATGAAGCTTTTGACAAAATGGTTAAACTCCCATAAATTGTCGCTCAATGTCGACAAGTCATCGTTTACCTATGTACATTAAGAAAAAATGTTGGGGACGATGACCTTGGCGACATTGAAGGCACTTACTTGAAACAAGGTAAAAATATAAAGTTTCTCGGTCTTTTGGTGGACAACCGCTTGTCCTGGATAGATCATATAAGCTATATCTCTCAAAGAATTGCGGCCCCTATAGGCATGCTGAGAAGGCTGCACCCTGTCCCCAGAAGACATCTTAGGTCGATTTATTTTTCATTAATCCATACACATCTTCATTATCTAAATATCATTTGGTTTAATGCTCAAAAAGGCACTATCAGGCCCTTAAAAACTTTACAAAATAAAGCTTTAAAAATCATTTACTCCTTAAATAAGCTTTATCCAACTAAAGAAATTTACAATAAGTATGAAATAAGATGCTTGAAGAGTATTTATGAACATCTTATTTATTAATCAGGTTATAAATGGCTCTAGACACTCCTGTACTAAATTTTCCCACAGAAGTGATGTTCATAAATACCCAACAAGTAGTTCACATCTAAATCTACCTAGGGTGAATTCACGGGTGGGTGTGGAATCCATTTTATATCGGGGTGTGGTGTTATATATAACAATATATAACAATCTACCAAGGGAGATAAGAGACTTGAAGGGTGATAAGTTTAAACTTGAACTATCAAAGAACGTAAAATACTTTATTGAATAGCCTGGTATGTAACTTCGAATACAAATGTGATATGTAATTTACTTTGATATATAATGTAATGTATTGTGATATTGAGATATATAATGTAATGTTTTTGTTCTGTATATACAACTAATTGTTAAAACTATTTAGAGGTGTCTCTCTGTAAACCTGTTAAGTTTTTGGAGACGAATAAACTGATTTTATTATTATTACCTTTTAACAACAAGTCTATTTTTTTGAAGCCAACTAATCAAAGTGAAATAGAGCACATTATAAAAGAATTAAAAAACAAAGGCGGTGGACATGATAATTTACATGCATCAACAATAAAACTTGCATCAGTCTACATATCACCAGTTTTAGCTCATATTATAAATATCATTATTACGAGTGGAGTCTGTCCTGCAGATTTCAAATCAGCGGATATTTGCCCAATTTATAAAAATGGTTCTAAAGAGCCAACTACGAATTACCGTCTTATTGCTCTAATTTCAAATTTGGCCAAAATTTTTGAAAAAGTAATTTTTATTAGAATTTATAATTTTGTAATGACAAATGGTTTATTATGTGAACGTCAATTTGGATTTCGAAAACAAAAAGGAACTGATGATTAAGGACCGGATTTTAGGCAAAATGCCTTTTCGTTTCTATTTCAGGCATTTGTTTGGGACCTTGATATTAATCCTAAACTTAAAAAAATAAAGCGTTTGACACCCCTTTGTTTTTGCCTAAAAGCCTAAAATGGCGAAATTTTGATTTAGGGTCCTAAAAGGAAATTTTTATGAGCCCAAAATAGGCTCTTTTAATTTTTCAGAAAAAATATATTTTTCAATGCGAAAAATTTAATTTTTTTAATTAGGCCCTGCTTTCTTGCTCTTATTTCGCCTAGACGGCCTTGGCGAGTACGAGGACCACAAATTACAAAACTAGTGAAAATCTCGAGGAAAATCTAATGAAAAACGTAATTGTGTTTTTGTTATATTTAAATATTTATTATAAATAATTAAGGATAATATTAAGTTTGCAAAATAATGGTTAAACATTATTATTTACTTTTTTTTCATAGGTTTTATTGTAATTTCCATATATGTATTACGTTGTGTTAACCTGTTCTGTTTGTTTATTATTGTTTTTGTGTTGCGTTAGTTTGTTTTGTTTGTGTTTTAGTTTGTGTCCTGCAATTTGCATTTATTAAAATGCGGTGTGGCATATTTGGATGCAAGAAAAACCCTTTAAATAAAAACACGGTCTGGATGCTCCCGTGGACGAGTTTTGGTTCGTGCCGCGCATGAAGTCACTTGATGAGTAGTTGCTGTGCGAATACACGAATAATAGTAATATTATTAATTAAACTTATAGTCACTGTCCAGAAAATGTTAAGAGGCAACAGAACCGGTCTTAACGGCTTAATGGCATATAACCACTGTTTGCAAAAACCAAAGTTTTTCGGGAATCGATGAAATTTGTTTTTATTTAAAGGGTTTTTCTTGGACTGGTTGTCCAAATGGCATACAAATATGCCACACCGCATTTTAATAAATGCAAATGGCACGACACAAACTAAAACACAAACAAAACAAGTTTCAACGCAACACAAAAACAATAAAAAACAAACAGAACAGGTTAACACAACGCAATATTTTTTTTTTAAATTTGAACACTGAAAAGTAATTCGAACCTGAATTTGAACACTGAAAAGTAATTCGAACCTCACTAAACGCAAAAACAACAAGTTAACAAAAAAATAGAGCAAGTTAACATCCAACAGCATCGCAAAAACAAGAATTTTAGCAGCAGATAATTAAAGATTTAAAAATACTCAACAAGTGACGTATTTAAGCCCTGCCCAACATGCGCACATACACTTAAGGTGTATGTAGCAATTGTACCTTTTCATAACAACAAACGGTCATGCGCAGTACAAACGGTCATCAATTATATTTGGACACGTCCTTAAGATCACATTGTAGTACTTACTTACTTCCTTTCTCACTGAAATTGTTTGTTCAAAAAAATTGTTATTTGTGCCTTTTGGAGACAACATTTGTTTTACTTTTTTAAAGATTCCTAGTCAAAATAACAGGCCCACCCTAGGCCCCCCGGGTCAGATGGCTAGTTACGCCAATGTTGAGTCCTATTTTTGGCACTTTGGGCCTAAAACGGCCTAAAATGTAGGTTTTTATTGCCTATTTAATTTCCAATTTTTAACGGCCTAAAATCCGGTCTTTGCTGATGATGCTATATCCATGGTAAGTGAACGAATATACAATCAGCTGGATTACAGTAAACCAACGATGCATCGCGATGGTTGCCTATTTGGACTACTCCAAAGCGTTTGACACTGTCAACCACCAAAATCTCCTATCTAAACTAGAGAACATGTGTATAAGAGGCATACCGCTCAGGGTAATTAAAAGTTATCTACAAGACAGAACTCAAGTAATAAAAGTTAATGGTGTGAAAAGTGATTCTGCTGAGGATGAGGATGTTGTCGCCTATGCGGATGACACGGCTGTTTTATTAAGTGCTAAAACATGGACTGAATTAGAACTCTTAATGACTAGTAAACTAGATGCAATTTACTCATGGTTGTACTCAAATAAGTTAATTTTAA